TGAGGGCTGGTGGTGGAAGGCCACTGTTCAGCAGAAAACAAACCACCGACCGTGAAAGGGTGAAACAGTGAAGTGTGAGTCTGGGAGGAAAAAGGTGACTGCAAATATGCAGCAAGAGGAAGGACTTTTTCTTTTAAAAAGCAGGATGTCAAGGAGTGACAGTAAACTCCCTAAAAGAGGAAAGGTCTTTGAAGGGCTAACCTGGTACATTAAAAGAAAGAAAAGTAAAAAATTTGGATTGAAAAGTACATTATCAAGCCTGAAAGCTGCTGACTGGGAGTGACAGGTATGCAGATCTTTTGATGTGTATGGGGAATAGTCTGAGCAGACTCACTCTCTTATGTATTCAGCTGTAAGACGAAGCGCCAATATACATTAAAGCAGGATATATGGATCAAAAGAAAAACAAATCTTAAAGTGCAATTCTCTGAAGTTATGATGTAAAAATGGAACTTTCATACTCATCAGATCTGCTCCAAGTGTGTATTCACAGACAACTCTGCTTCCTTGAAGTCACAGAAGTACAGCACACACTATGGGAGAGTGAGGTGGAGTCATGTTATTGATTAAGTTACTTACTAATGTCTTACCAGTTAACACGGGCCCACACCTATTGAATACACTGAGATTGTACGTGTGTTTTTAAGGGCATCTATGTTTAGCAACAGGCCTAGACAGTTGTCAGAGTATTATTTGGCCTACAGAACCTTTATCCATGGTATTATGAAAGGAAGACAGATGCCAGCCTGAAACATTGAGCTTGCAAGTTGTGAAGTTAGAAAGAAGATTTTGTGTGTGTTCATTTTTCCAGTAGTAATCTGGACGCTGATGAGAAACAAACAATAACTATATAGAACCATAAGGGGGCCTTTAAAAGAAAGGATCACTTTTCAGATAGAATGACCCTTTGACAGATATTTTGAAAGTGGCAAAGCTGCTCAAGGAAAGAGACTCAATGAATAGGATTTAGAATGGAAACTAAAAGGGGAATGTAAAGTGGTGGCTGATGACTGCACAAGAGAGACGATGGCAAGAGATGGACGTTACCTCATTCATACTGGAAATGAAAAGCACCACCAGGTCCTAGGATATAAAGGGCTGATACTGAACATTACAGCTCTGATTTTTTTTCCCCCCCAAATGAGAGCCTCATAGTAAGCTGTGGCTGAGCGTGTGCTAGAGACCTGTGCCTTCTTTCTCAATGCAGCACAGCATTAAATGGCCTCTACTCTACAGTCGCAGAGACTCTCTGCCCTCTGTGCTACTAGGTGCAGTATAATGGCTTTTGTCCCCACAGAGTCTCTTCACAATTGAGGCCATTAAGCTGAAGCTAAGAGATTGAGTGCTTCCCCTTGATTTGTATGGCTTATTTTTTCTCTTCCAGGTTTCAACTCTCTTGTAGGTGGAGTAATGGGATTTTCCATCCTTCTAAGTGCAGAAGTTTTTAAGCACAATGCTTCGGTCTGGTACCTGGATGGCAGTATAGGAATTTTAATGGGACTTACAATACTTGCCTATGGAGTCAAGTGAGTTAAACTTCTTATTTTTGTAATTTGCATTAGCAAGCACATTCATGTGATTCATCATGATCTACAGTGTTAAATGTCCTGCCAGTTAATGAACAAGAGCAATCCTCATTTAGAATGTGTGTCTTCATTTGGAAAGCGTGTGCATACCTGCACATTTCTGGCAGCTAGCTCCTGCACTGGGATCTTGTAGCATGGCAGCTCATATCACGTTACCACAGAGCTTGTTAGTTATTGAAGGCAACAGTGTCTGAAAGAAAAGAATGCTGTTTATTAATTGTTTGAGAACCTGCTCTCCTCAAGTGGATGGGAGAGAGGCTAATTTCTAGGTGGGCCATGGTGTGGTTTCTAAAAATATAGCACTCTATGGGAGAACAAAGTTTCTAGTCACTGAAAGGTGACCTTGTGGTGAAAAAAAAAAATCTCTGCACCCGTGAACATCCAGTCCCTTGGGCATGTTTAGGGTTTATTTGTTCTCAAAATATTTCCTTTAAAAAAAAAAGTTAGAATGGTTATTTCTTTCAGAACAAAACAATATTCCATTAATCCGGCAATGAAAACAGAATAGTTATATAACAAAATGGAGCCCATTCATATAACAATTATATTTCACTCAACACATATCTCTTTTGTTAAGAGGTATTTGCTATCCAGTACCCCACCTTTAACAAAAAGATTGTTGGTGTTTCAAATATAGTAAGTGTCAGCTGACAGAGGCTTATATATCTTTGGTGTAATAAATCTCTGGCATTTAGTACGGTAGCTGTTAGCACAGTGTGCAGTGTGGTGGCAGTTGGATTTAAAAAACAAAAGCTTGTTTATGTTACAGAGAAGCCAAAAACATATTATAATTTTAGGGCTTTTTGTATTGCTTTGTTTTAGCTAATCTATTTTTGTGTGTACTTTTCTTTCTTTCTAACACCACATTTTGGCTTTGGGATATTTACCTTTGAAGGATAGATGCATAATTCTGGGGTCAGAATTCCTCTAAAATATTGTTATGGCACATTTCTAAGCCCTCTTTTTCCTGTGTGAAGTATAGGGAGAGGTTAGCTGCTCCATGGCGAATGCTGCAACTGAGTTTAAATTATATACTGGATATTGGCCTCCCTCTCGAACACGACAAAATACACCATATATTGGCTTGGAAACCGATAGGTCAGCCTAGACCCAAATAATTTTTCTACTAGATTTGAAATGAATGGGATAAGGGATTCTTGAATGGTGACACTAAAATTGGAAGTGAAATCCTTGCCTCATTGAAATTCATGAGAATTTTGCCATTGACTTCATTGGGGCCAGAATTTCACTGCAGGTCTTCTGGGTGATAAATGTCTTTAGGTTTTTTTCCTCCACTTCGTAGGAAAATAATAATAAAAATGATAGAAGCTATTTTATTGGACTACCTTGCAGAGACCTAGTGCCCAGACCTATGATTTTTAGTTTATAATCCACTTTGAAAAGTTAACATTTTAATTAGGAATGCCACTCCTATAAATGAAGGAACCGTGCTCTTGTAAAATCATTGAAATCTATATTCTACAGCAGAGGCGAGATGGGGACATTACAGTAGGAAAAATGCAAACATGACAGACAGAACCCAGAATCTTTCAAGTATATCCCTTGACTTCCACACTAGTGCTTTGGATGGCCAGGATCTGCCATGGCCAGTCAGCACTCCAAGCAGATTCCATCTGTACAGCTTGCGAGCACTGCCTTGCCAGGTCGCAGTCATTCTCACTTCTAGGGGGAAGTGCTAACAAGCTCCCATGTCTTTCTGGGGCAGTTCATGCCACTGAGGGATAAGCCTTGCTGTGAGTTCTGGCCAATGAGCAGATTGCACTAAGGGTGCAGTCTCTGCCATTCTCCTCCACCATAACATTTTTTTCCAAAGCAGTCTTGGTGTCAACAGGGGGATACATCCTCTCCCAGGCTGGCAGAGCCAACTCTGATTCAGCCAGAATTCCTCCAGGGGACTCTCACTGCAGCACTATCCTGCTCCTCACCCCCACCACTCCCACACTGGGCTGTGGCTTTAAGCCATAACCTAGCCCCTTGTGTTTACATCTTCTAAAGTACAGAGAAGCGCACCTGGTATTTCGAATGCTTCCGAGGGAGAACCCACCTCCCCACAGCTTCTTAAAGGTTGGGCAGGGCTGGTTCTGGGCCTGGTTTCACTCTGATCAGCAGTGAAGAGATAAACCTTCCTTCATGAGAGTGCCTAATACAACTCCCCTAACTGTATGCTTTCCCCTTACAGCTCGACCTAAACTCACTTGTGCTTTTATTTGCAGGTTGCTTATTGATATGGTCCCACGTGTAAGGCAAACGCGTCATTACGAAATGTTTGAATGAAGACAGATCCCCTCTCCTCTGTATAGACTGAAACTGCAGCATCGTACGTTTTGGCAACTGATACGTTTGGTGCCACTGATATTTCACTGAATATGCAGTTTGTTTCCCATGGTATATTTTCTTTTAAAGTTTATTTTAATGGGAAATCTCTCTGTATAACAGGCAAATATGTGCACTGCTTACAACGCAGCAAAACAGCAGCATTTTCCTTTCAAGTAAGCTATTGAATCCTGTAAGTGACAGTAGAAAACATGCATAATTTGCCATTCCAAACCAGCTGCAGTGTTCTGTGTTCTAGAGTGAAATTGTTTTTATTGATATAATAGATGTCTGTAGATAAGAGGTGCCAGTTTCAGAGCCTTTTTTTTGTTTTTTTGTTTTTACTTTTTTGTTGGCTCAAACTTTCCAAATTTGTGCTGTAACTTTGAATTACAGCCATTGCCAACCTCTTCAGCTCACAACTCAACAAAGGTACTGTACGTAGATTATGGATGCTAACAACCATCGCTTAAAAAGCACTGAAGTAAATAATATTTTTCTCTCAAGTTAGGAGGATGGACTCCACAGAGAAAACAGCACAAGACCCACTCATTGCTATGATCAGAGTTTAATTTCATACTATTTTATTAGTCCTAAATTATCTAAAATACAAGTGTTCTTCTAATTTGAATTTCATTTTTATTTAACAAATAACGCACACAGTACACTGCTTTGCATGGACGAAATAAGCACAGAGAGTATTACTGTACAGATAAAAGCCAAAATGAAGCACAAGAAGGACCAGTATGAGAAATATGATTCTCACTCTTTTATTGTACCATACACAGATGTGCCAGTATTTGTGACTACATGGTTGCTCTGTTGCCTGATGAAGGTACAGCAGTGACGGCTTTGAACTGCAGTGAAATACAAAGCTATTCATTAGATTTAGGTTATTCTGTAAAAAAACAAAAAAACAAAAAACTGTTCACCCTCCACCACACATTCCTATGTATTTCTTAATATCCTACTTATAATATCCAAGAACCACGATGTATACAATAAAACTTATCTATTTTATACAGTACCTGTACGTAACATTTGACAGCTGTTTCCAGAATGTATTGTAGAATAAAGTCTTCCTGTACAGCACCCATTAAACTAGATTCTCTGGTCACTGCAATTTCCTCCATACTTTGTATATTTCAGGTTGGCTTCACAGTGTGCAGAAATGAATCAGTGTTGAGGCATTTCATTTGTTCCCTTGTGGGTGACAAAACGAGCTATGCTATCATGGAGGTCAGAATAATACATCAAGAAGCAGGGAGATCCACATTCATTTGGTTGAGACCATACAACAGCAGACCTACAATCAAATTGTCGAGGAATTGATAATAGATTGCTTTTTGACACTTTATGTTTATATAGCACCTTTGATTCCCAGTCATAAAGCACTTACAAACTGTTGACCAAATTCTGATATCCTTACTCAGGCAAACTGCAACCGAGTAAAAACAGCAGCTTGATGGTTCCACTATGTGATAATTCTATACCCAGATAAAGGCCAAAATACTCAACAAGGTTATGATCTGTATTACCGTAGTGCTGAGGAGCCTCAGTCATGGACCAGGATACTGTGGTACTAGGAGATGTACAAACACACAACAAAAAGACAGTCCCTACCCCAAAGCGCTTACAGTAAGAGCCAACAGATGGAGGAATACAAGGAAACAATGAGACAGAATTGGTGGTCAGCATGACAGGGTGGGTCTCAATGCACCATCAGCCTAAACACTGTCAAACTTTTCTGAAGTTCCACTCGGTTTCTTCTGCATTCCTCCTTTAGGGATGGTGGCGCCTGGCCCCTTCATCCCCAGAAAACATTGAGGGGGAAGGCCCACAAATGTAGAGTTTGGGAATCTCTGGCAAGGGGGCACAGGGCTATCTCCACAGAGGCCTTCACAGCATCTCTCAGCCCCCTGTTACTTTGCCCACTCCCAGCAATCTTTAGCAGATGCGCTACTTTCCCCCACTAAAATGTCCCCTTCTTTAGGGAACAGATACAGACAAGTAATGTAGCCTCTGGCCATGCTTTCCTAGGAAATCTGTAAGAAGTCACTGGGAGTAGCAAGAGCCCCTGGCATGTCCACTCTTGCCCCTTTCATAGTTAAGATCTTAGGATTTAGACGGATCTGTACACACATACTACTGAAAACATAATCAGTTCACCCCTTCCCTCTGTGATGGGACATGTGCTGCTAAACAGCACAAAACCCCACTAGTTCTTTAGAACTAGGAAGTGAAGACTACTATACCCAATTAATATTGCTCTGCTACTACAGGAGTGGCTTTACAGTCTTCTATTTCCCCCAATTGTTCTGTATGGAGGAAATATGGGGCAGAAAATGCATCTTTCACTGTGAACTGGATTTTCATTTTCTAGCATTTGGGTCTTTTGTATTTAATTTGGGTTAGTTCAAGTTTGTACAGTGCTTTGTAAACAAAGGTTTTTTCAGTGCTAAGTAGTAGTTGTAATATCCATAATGCCACTGGATGATACTAAAGATCATTACATGCCATTCAGCAGTACATACAGTACTTTTCAGCATCACAGGGAGACAAGACCACAACCGTTAACAAAGTAAGCACCAGGTAAAGTATGGACAGACCTCCACGAAAGCAGTAGCATATTGCAGTGCATTTGCCATAGGTTGGATTTTTTTTTTTTTTAAAACAGCAATGCAAATTTGTACTGTTGCCCAGTGTTAGGATGCATTTGTTGCTTAATTTATCTAATGCAGGAATGCAGATTCAGCGTATTCTGTGCCAAAAACATTAACTTGCTGCTAAACATGTATATATACACAACCCCCCCACACCATAGTCTGTTACCATAGACAGGAAAATCTCCAAATTCCTTTATTAACCCTAGTTTTCCTTTCCCATGCAGTTTGCCCCTGTTGTCCAACATTCTTAGATATCTGTACCCAGTTAGTTTTAACACTCTGGCAATAATTATAATAGTTACGTTTACTTATTACTTTAACAAAAGCTTAGCAAAACCTCAGCAAAACACTGTCTTGCCCTTTATGATCTCTACATATGCCAAGAATGAAAGACTCACTTGGCATAAGGCAGAGCCTTTAATAATACATTCATTTTGGGTAGTGCCAGAAACTATTTTCCAAAGCACAAACTAAATGAAGTCATTCATCAAGCTTTCGCTTAGTCCCTCTTATTGTTCCATCATCCTTTTTCTTTGGTAACTTGGAGCGCCTTGTAGATATTGATGGAGCAGATGCTTTTGCACTGATTGAGAAGAGCAGGTTATTTAAGTGTCCTACCCATGAATATTCTTCAGTGGAACCACAGCCTGAATGTAGCTGGAGAACTCATCATGGCTAGCAGGGTCCTTTTCTGCCTCTTCAGTGGCATCAGTGCTCCTGCACTCTTCAGCCTCACTACTTTTCATAGGAATGGCCCTAGTGGATCAGACTTGAGGTCCATCTAGTCATTTCCTGACTCCAGCAATGGGGGAAAGGTGCTAGAGCAAGAGAAGGATTAGCCAAGACACTTCCTAGCTTCTAATGTGACTGCCTCTGGTATGCAAGTCACTAACATTTGGATGCACTGAAGAAAATCAACCCTTTCAGTCAAGGACTACCTTGAAAGTTGTTTTGCTTGTCAGTGTTGCCTAGTGCTTGGAGTAAACAGGAGCGTAGCACTGGAGACATGCTGTTGTGAAAGCAGAGAAGTTAAAAGGTGAACAATTGAGAGGTCTCTGAATTAGAACTGAATTGAAATGCTTCTGATAAAAAGATATATGGAGATACGAAAAGGATTACGTCCTTGACTATGTAGTTCACAAACATGAGCTGTGACTGACTCCTCAAGAAAGTAGAATTAATTCCTATTTTGCATTGTTTAAATTAAACTAATTCCAGCATATTTGGAATTGTCATAGATCATCTGCGATCATCCAGGAGCCAGACATTCATTGGCATGTAAATACAAAACCCCCCCCCTGAAACACTTGTGATGACATTTTAATCCTTAAGAGGAAAAAGCCAAGACAGTAGCAATGGAGAGACATTCTAGTATTCAGAAGTGAAGCTAAACTTATCACAGTTTGTGTGTATTCTTCTGAGAGAGATTGAACTTCATCTTAAAGGGTAATTTTTATGATATGCTGCAGTAGTGAGAGAGATAATTGCTTATTTAATGTACAAAAGAATCCCATGCTAGTAAAACAGCTAGCAAAATCATCAGTGTATTTTGTTTTGTTCATTACATATCTGTTATCTGGATCTTAGAAAAATTACGCATCAGACACTCGGTTGGAGTCCAGGAAACAAACAACATAGAGCCTGAGCCTGTTCCCAGAGAAGTTAATAGAAGGTAGGATTTTCGAAAGAGCCTAAGTAATTCGGGAGCACAAGTGCCATTGACTTCCATGAGACTTATGCTCCTCAGTCATTTAAGTGCTTTTGAAAAATCTCACCCTTAATGCTTAAATTGAATTATATTGGCCAGATTTCTTTTTTAAAATATGATTTGTTGATCATAGCTGCTGGAGTAAGTTGCTAATATAAAATGGCCCTAGTTCAAGGTGATCCTAGGGAAAGTGTGTGCACACAAGTGCGTCAGAGAGAGAAAGGTCGGTGTTCATGCGAAAAAGGATCTCAGAGCATTGGCTATAGCCAGTCATAAGTGCAGACTGGCCCTGGAAAAACTTTGCCATACTGCAGATTGCAAATACACCTTAATAGCTGATATTCTGGGTATGATACGATTCTCCTGAACAGAGACTGCAAATTATGCCATCCTAGGCAGCAGTTATGCGATACCCACTATTGTATTAATTCAGATGGAATAAAGGGCCCAAAGAATCAAAGGTGTTAACATAACACAGTCAGACAGTTTTAAACAAGGTTCATGGTAGGATATACAGAGACCCCGGCCTGCTCATTACCATGGAAAACACACCTTTAAAAATCATTTGAACCTTTTATTAGAGACAGAGACAAGAAGAAAAACAATTAAATAATTTAAAATGTAAAGTACGAAACAAGGCTTTCCTTTCAACATCCCTTGTTCCCATTAGCCAGAGACAGGGGGTTTTTTTTGGGAAGGGGAGGGGGTAGAGAACCCTGTTGGACAGTCTCTTGGATGGCATACAAGATGGTAACAACTGTCCTTTTGGGGAAAGAAGAAGAAGTTAGTAGAGATGGGCTGGAGCTGTCATTGCTGCTGCTGTTAAAGTTCAATCCTGTTTCCTAAAAGACAAAACAAGCCGGGGAAAAGAGGGGGCAAGAAAAGAATCACAAAGATAGAAAATGCAGCTTCTGTCTCTGGTGTTGACTTTCACTTGCAGCCTCTCTGCTGGAAAAACACAGGCATGGTACATGGTCTTACCAGCTACTCTGAGACCTGGTAAACTTGCACCAGCATTGGGCTGTTCAGGGCATTGCATTTAGCTGCTTCTAGGCTTATAGCGCTGTTGCAAAATATGGCTAAGCCAGACTCATTACACAGAAGGTGAAAGGAGAGGGATAGGAATAAGCTAGGCAAGGAGAAAGTGTGATTGGATTGGGGGGGGTGGGGGGGGAGTTTCAGCATCCCACCTTGTGTTCAGATTTCAGCCAGTAAAGGTGATGGTGTCATCTGGGTCCCTCTCTCTTTGGTCTGGTCAGGACATCTCTCAGGATTAGGATGTAGGTTCGGGGTCCCAGGAGATGGTGGGGGTGGCAGCTATAATGGTAAAGCTCAAGTTTGCTCTAGTAGCCAATTTTTCTCTCCAAAGTCTCTTTAAGGACCCCAAAAGGGAGGGCAGCATGGAATAAATCTCATTTTTGTTCATGAATTGGGCCTAATTTCTCACGCACCAATTTTGGTTAATTGATTTCCGGTGCTTTACACTTTTCTTGTTTAAGTCCTTGAGTTACATCAGTAGGCTTTTCTGTTCCCACTTGCAGTGTCCCAGAGCCAGGCTCGTGCCCAAGCACAAATGTCTACACTGAAGTTTTATGGCCCTGCAACCCGAACTCCAGTCATCTGACCCAGACCAGCTGCGGGTGTTTAATTGTCAACATACCCTTAGACAGGCCTGTGAGGCAGGTAAGCACTACCGCCCACCCATCCTCTATTTTAGTGACAGAGAAACTGAATCACAAATTACATTCACTTCCATTTTTACCTAAAGTCAGATTGTTGAACCCAGCTCTTCAGCTAGGAAAAGTGCACTAACATCCTGTGCTCATTTGCCCGCACACATCTCCGCCCCCCCTTGCCTCTAGTCAACAATGGCATGAAAGGAAGCATCATGCTTATCTGTAAGGCATAAGTCTAGAATGTTCCCTACAAATTGTTCTGTTCTCAAAACAGGTTTGAAGCAAAACCCCATATATAAACCTTAACAGACTGGATCCAGATGCGCATTTCAGCCTGGGTCTACAGCTAATATCATCCAGTCCAATCCCTAATTCCCCTGGAATAAAAAGCACTCTTACATTTGGCATTATTCTTGTTGGCAGTAGCAGCAGAGGGGCCAAGGAATGAACGAGGATGGACCTCCTGGTAAGTGTTGAGAGACAATGGGCAAAGTGTGGAAGCTTGGCCTGCTATAGACGCTCGCTCTCCAGGCTATCAGGCCAGCACCTCTCCCAAGGAATGTTTTCACTTTCAGTTTTGAAGTCTCCTAGGACAGTGCATTGATTGGGAAACAAACTTGCTATTTCTTGAACTTCAATCACAAGGTGCTGCCACTTGCTCTGCTCAACGCTGCACCCTCACTGGGAGCTGGCAACCCACGGACCGTGGGGTCACAAGGACACCACCAGGTTAGTGATGGACAAACACAATAACTGATTTGAGAGACCAACCAATGACATTAAGTCCACAGAGCCCCCAGGAGGTAGGTTTTAAGTAATTCCTCTGTTGAAGGCCTATCACTTTTCTAAATCTGTTTAGCAAGTAAATAGAAAATGCTTCTTTTTCAGGGGTAATGAGACTGCTATCCAAATCAGTGTCATTGCTTTGTGATCTTGTTTCTTAAAGGCACAGGCATTACAGCATTAAAAGTCTCCCACATCCGAAGGATGCTACTTATTGTTTTAAGTCTATATTGAAAGTCATTAACCCTTTGCCTCACCGCAACAAGATGCTGGATACACCAGGCCAATTCAAAATAGGTAGCAAGTACATGAACTGCATTTACTGGGTCAGTGCCATGTGTGTGTCACACAGAAGCCTGAGTTAGACTGGATTACACAGTGGGTCAGGAGGGAGATAGTGAGCACACTATTATGGACGACAGCCAATAGCCTTGTGTGGTGAGCACCTGGCTAGCAGCCAGGTAAGACAGTGCTAACACTGATTTGGACTTGATTCTGTCATCAGAACCCAGCTGCAAGCCCTACTGGCAGAAAGTCCACAGTTCAGCCAACCCACCACACCTTCAGAAATCATGAGTCAGACTCCAAAAAACCATGAGACTTAAAAAAAATATTAATTGGGGGTATTTATTTGTCCTCTTGTTGAGACCTTTAGGTTTCATATTTCCAAGTTTTTCTCCTCAACCATGAGGACTGGACACTTAAGACAAAACAAAACAATGAAAGCTGGGATCTCAGAGTCACATGACTCCAGGAACTGAGGCTTTTAGCAAAATACCAGATATCATGAGTCTCGGTTGCATCATGAGTGTGTATTTGGTGGACACAGAAGTAGAAACAGCCTTCACCTTCTGCTCAACTCAGCGAGCCTGGGAAGCTCCGAGCGTGCTGGGCTGTGCAGGGCTGGCAAAGGAAGGGGTAAGAGTAGGGCTCCTTGGTAGCCTCTGCCATTGGAATTCCTATGGAGCCCAAACTAGAAATTGAAGCTGACTATCCCGAGAAAGGGTCTTGGTAGGTGACCTCCCTGCCTCTGTCTCAGCTGCCCCTAAAGACATAAACAGGCCATTTGCACTGCCCTGCTCCCGGGGGGTTGAATCAAATTTCACCGTATGTGACCTGTTATCAATTCACATGTTTCAGTTTCTCCCCTCTGTAGAATGGGGATGATTCAAGGGGATGCTGTGAGCATGTGTACTGGTATTGCTTTGATGATATGAAGTATTAATTGTTAATACCACAATCAGCAATGGCTGCTACTCGGAGGAGCCCCGAAGTCTGCAGAAACTCCTTCCCTACAGGATCTGGAGAAACCCTTTTTACTGCATTGGTGTATTTCTGTTTAGCACGAGGATTCTCTGGCACAGACGCACTGTCTGCTGAAATGCAGTAATGGCAGACAGCGGACTGCAGGTGGACTGTGCCTCTCTCCAAGAATCTCAGTGATGGGAGCAGACCACCACCAGTATGGTCAGTCAGAGCATCAGAAGCAACCAACTGCTAGCCCAGCCTGGAGGCTGCAAACTCTCCCTTCTCCAGAACATTGTGTCAGCAGCCCAATCATTTTTAATTTTTACCTGTTGCAGCAACTGCCTCGAATTAGTATCCAGTAGCGAGTGAGTCCCAGGTTTTTCACAGCAGAAAGACAGCACACAGCTCAGCAGGATTGGAGGCCTCTGTAGGACAAACAGGAGGTGTAGTTCATGTCTATATGTATGAGGCCTCTACAGTGCCTGCCCGCTGAACTATGCCTGTTTAAATCAGTGCAATTAGCACGTGATTTTCAGTAGCATATTGAACCCCGCCCCAAGAGTTTAATACAAAACTTGTTTAACTCAAAGGTTAACCAAATTAGCAAGTTCAGGAATTTGACATAAGGAAAAACAATGACGGGGTTAGAGGTTTAATGCACTTGGACGACTCAGCCTGAATTGCAATGTCCTCCCATGGAGGAGAACGGATGGAGCTCAGAGTCACCTCTTCAGTTTTGACCCACAGAAAGGACAACCATGTCAGAGTTCACGGTGAGGCTTTTGGGAGCTACAGGCAGGGAGGACTTGGTGGAGGGATCTACACCTGGCTGGGTGAGACCTTACTAAAAGCAGGCCTATAGGTGAAACCACTGGTGCAGGAGGGGGCAGAGAAGGAGATCTGTCCTACGTCTGCTCCTTCTATTATTTTCAGTACAGCAGCAAGATGTGTATTTCCACGCCAGGTCCCACCTTACACCTTACATATTTTCTTATGTGGTTGCACCTCTGCCCATCTAACTGACATCACATCCTGTTTGAAACCACCCACCATTTCACAAAAGCCTTCCCATAATGTGAAAAGCTGAACAGTTAGGGGATGAGGTGTAAAAGAGTTAAAATCAGTCCCCAATCTAGCCAAATCAAGGGATGAGCAGTGTACACTGTTCTATTGCTCTCAAGGGCCAAAGGAGTGAAAGGTTTTATAAAACCCTTTCACTGTCCAGTGCTGAAACAGTATTATAAAGGTTCAGGATTTTTCTGGTTTGTGTGGTTTCTTGGCAAACACCCAGAGTTCTAAAGTTGGAAGTTTATTGATCAAAACACAACAAAGAACTAGAAATCAAAACAAGAAAAAGCTGAAATTGAGTAATTATGCATAACAATCAAAACATATTAAAGCCTCTCTCCTTTTGGAGGCAAATTAGTCTCATCTTACCAACAACCCTTCTTTGATGAAAAAGAAAGGGTTAATTTTACTCCCAGTCCTCATGTGTGAAGGGTATTCACTTTTCCTGTTTTTTACAAACACACAGACACCAGGTGGAGGAGAGACAAGATAGAAAAAGGTGGGGGAAAATACAGCTTTTGTTAATGATGTTCTTGGAAAACTGGGCGGCTGGTCAATCATGAATGGATGCTTTAGGCTGGCAGGTCAGTTACACTACCAGTTGCTCTGGACTCTGGCTCACACTTTGGTCAGAATATCACCTGGTTAGCTCTGTTCTCCTCAAACAGGGCAGGGCTGGATGGCCTGTAACTCACTGGGCTGGTGCACGCAATACAGTTGATTTCAGGATCCAGTGAACAACTGAGAGAGAGAGAGAGAGAGCACGCGGAAAGAAGGGAGAAGGCAAAAAGTAACACAAAAAAGGAAAGGAGACAGAACAGGATTTTACATGCAACTGACTGGAGCCTCTGCAGCGGTGACATCAGGTATCCCCACTGATGGCTGAGGACTGGATGTCATGATAACTTTCAGGACTCACAGGTGAAGAGCAAAGGTCCTTTAACAAGAGCAAGTCCAGATGGCTTTCCCGAGGAAAGAAAATCCTTCAGTCTGGTCTGCTCCTTCTGTGCTGGAGTTGGGGAAGGTGAGATGAGAATTTTTTTCCCAAGTCTCCTTTTATGAATCCCCAAAAGGGACTTCGGGGTGGAAAGTGTGCAGCATAGTTCATCTCCTCCTCATTTTGTTCACCAATTAAACTCACTTCCGTAAGGCCAACCTGGGCATAGAATCATAGAAGATTAGGGTTGGAAGAGACCTCAGGACGTCATCTAGTCCAACCCCCTGCTCAAAGCAGGACCAACCCCAACTAAATCATCTCAGCCAGGGCTTTGTTAAGTTGGGTCTTAAAAACCTCTAAGGATGGAGATTTCACCACCTCCCTAGGTAACCCATACCTGTGCTTCACCACCCTCCTAGTGAAATAGTGGTTCCTAATATCCAACCTAAACCTCCCCGCACCCCACTGCAACTTGAGACCATTGCTCCTTGTTCTGACTGACGACAGCCAAGCTCCGTCCTCTTGGAACCCCCTTTAGGTTGTTGAAGGCTGCTATCAAATCCCCCCTCACTCTTCTCTTCTGCAGACTAAACAAGCCCGGTTCCCTCAGCCTCTCCTCGTAAGTCATGTGCCCCAGCCCCCGATCATTGTCACTCCCTCCTCTGGACTCTCTCCAATTTGTCCACATCCTTTCTGTAGTGGGGGGCCCAAAACTGGATGCAATACTCCAGATGTGGCCTCACCAGTGCCGAATAGAGGGGAATAATCACTTTCCTTGATCTGCTGGCAATGCTCCTACTAATTGCAGCCCAATATGCCTTTAGCCTTCTTGGCAACAAAGGCACACTGTTGACCCATATCCAGTTTCTCATCCACTGTAATCCTCAGGTCCTTTTCTGCAGAACCACTGCTTAGCCAGTTGGTCCCCAGCCTGTAGCTGTGCACGGATTCTTTCGTCTTAAGTGCAGGAATCTGTACTTTTCCTTGTCAAACCTCATCAGATTTCTTTTGGCCCAATCTTCCAATTTGTCTAGGTCACTCTAGATCCTATCCCTACCCTCCAGTTTATCTACCTTTACCCGCAGCTTAGTGTCATCTGTGAACTTGCTGAGGGTGCAATCCATCCCATCATCCAGATCATTAATAAAGATGTTGAACAAAATCGGCCCCAGGACCGACCTCTGGGGTACTCCGCTTGATACCGGTTGCGAACTAGATATTGAGCTGTTGATCACTACCCTCTGAGCCCGACAATCTAGCCAGCTTTCTATCCACCTTATAGTCCATTCATCCAATCCGTACTTCTTTAACTTGCTGGCAAGAATACCGTGGGACACCGTATCAAAAGCATAGGTAACTTTGTTCCTACATTTTCTTATTTATAAAATCCAACCTCAACATCGTCCTTGAGCCTTATCAAGCAGGCCTTTTGTGCTTGGACTAATTCAATTTCTCTGCCTGGGTCTCTTGCACCTGCTTGTAACATCATTATTGAAAACAACTTGACCTACTTTTTATGGTTCCCAAGCAGGCAAAATAAGGCCCTATTGTCACCACACTAACAACAATTCAATTTGATGCTAACAGACGTTTTAGTGCTTTGGCACCTAGATACATTGGTGGGCAATAAGACCACAGATTAGTTTTGCATCTGCTTTAATCCAGAATGATGGGGTGCATGCTAATGAGATCAAACAAGAGGGGTAACTGCATGAATACACACATGCTTTACTTCCCTGAAATGGAAACAGTTCTGTGGCATGGAATAAAGGGCCTTTGAGGAGCAGGGCCAGGAATCTGCCTCAGAAAAAGATCACCACGTGTGTTCAGATAGCCATGACAAACTAAACTATTTAATGTAATTAAGGGATCAAACATACAGCTGAGATTCTGAAGCCAGATGACAACTGGCAGGCATAATGCAATTTCTTCTTGTGTTCACCACTTTACATTTGTTTTTTAAGTACAAATACTACGTATTTGGGAAAGTTTGAATGTGATGTTACTAGTCAGTGTAAAAACATTAGGAAACAGACACCCAGAAATTGACATCACAACTTGGGTATGAGTAGTTATAGGATTTTACAGTGTTATATAGGACTCGTCAAAACACAGGAGAAGTGGGTTAGGTACAAGTAAGAGGAGGTTACTTACCTGTAACTGGAGGTTCGAAAAGATGCATGGCCCCATTTGTATTCTAAACACAGGTGTGCATGCGTGCCATGTGCTGGAGCTGGAAGCATTCAGCAGCAGTGTCTGTTGAAACACACTGGCATCTTACATTGCCACGTGCTCCAGGCCAGGTTATAAGAGGCTGTGCAGGATAACACGTCCTCAGTCGGCCTCTTACCACTGACTAGGCAGTTTGCAGCAGAGGGGATGGTGGGCAAGTACTGGAATACAAATAGGGACCATACATCTCAAAGAACCTCCAGCTACAGGTAAGTAACCTCCCTCTTCTTCTTCGAGTGATGGTCCCTATTTGTATTCCAAATGCGGGTGAGTACGAAGCAGTGATCAGCTTGGAGGTGGATGCAAGGACATGACGGGTAAGGCCTGCTGCAGGATGGCACATCCCATGGCTGCCCACTGGTTGATGGTGTAGTGAAAGTGTGGACGGAGTGCTATGTTGCTGCACAGCAGTTCTCGTGCCAGGGGACATTTGCCAGGGACACGTCAAATTGGGCCTTCTGTTGGTGCCGAGGCGTGGTGGTAGGCGATGGTTGTGAGCACTGGGATCGGGGGCACCAACAGTTGGTTGGGTTTGTATGGTGGGTACGAGTGCAGGAGTTCGCTGGTGGTAGGGGGCCAGAGTGTAAATCCCGAGGGACCAGAGGGTCGCCCTCAAGTCTTCTAGGCAGTGTAGAACGTCGTCCATTTTAGTGGAGAACAACTTGTCCTCGTCAAAGGGGAGGTCCTGGATGGTGGATTGGACTCCCTGGGAAGCCCGGACGATTGAGGCCATGCTTCCTGCCTCAACACCACTCCCGCAGGAGGTTGTGTCCGCAGCACCTACTGCGGCTTGGAGGCTTACCTTGGCCATCAGACAGCATCAGGCCAGCAGGGCTAGGAACTGCTGTTTGTCCTGTGGGATGTCCTCCAAGAACTCTGCCAGCTTGGCATAATTAATTATTAAAATAATAGTTCACTGGCAGAGCCTAGTAGTTAGAGATGCAGAATTGCAGGGCTGCGCAGGAGTACAGTTTGCAGCCCAGGAGGTCCAGATGCTTCATTGCCTTATCCGGAGGAATGGAGGTAGAGGAGTGCTGGAGTGACTGTTCCGTGGCTGCATGCACTACCAGGGAGGCCAGGGTGGGGTGGGGCGGGAAAACAAAGTCAGCCCCGTTAGCCGGCATGAAGTACCTGCATACCACCCTCTTGGGTGTAAGGGCACAGGATTCCCGCGTGTGTCACACCGTTTGTGCGGGTTGCATGATGGCCTGTACTGGTTCGAGTTCTGGGTCCTCTTCCAGGTCCAAGTCAATTAGGCCCAGTGGAGAGGCTTGGATGGGATGGTGTTAGGCCACCAACAGGTACAGCTGGTGATAAGGGTCCCACAGGAGCCATTGGTCCCACGAGACCAGGTCCTGTTGGTACTTTGGGTCCCAAGGATATGGGTACCACTCTGCTGGGACCAGAGCATACTGCATTTGGTGAGATGGGCATGCCCAGGAGTCTGAGCTACACTGGGAGACCTGGGAGAAGGATGGCTCTTCTGCCGAGAAACCCTCCGAGTCTGAAGAAGCCTCCGGAAGTGATGGACTGATGGTACCGTGACTGATGGAGGCAGGTCTAAAGGGAGGAGGAGTGATGCATCCACTGGCGTAGGAGGCCCAATGGAGCCGAGAGAAGTGGCGAGGGAGGGTACAGCAGTTCTAGGTGGGTGGGGGAGACCAGCAGTTCTGTCTGTCCCAGTGTCCAGGGCACATCCAGTTGCCCGCCAAACCGACGGGTACGCAGAGCAGAGCCTGGAGAATCCTGCCATGGCTGAAGAGCACACACCAGAGCACTATCTCAACCCTACATCATCACTGGGACCAGTGATGCTGGTGGGAGTCTCTTCCACTTAGCCTTGGCCCCTGTCTTAGAGGGTGGCACAGCGGGGTCATTGCACAAGGTCTTGCTTGTCTGGGCCCAGCTCGGGGAGGGAACGCAGTGTGTTGCAGCAGTCTGACCCAGGGACCTGCTCCAGTGTTCGTGGGAGCGCTTGCAGCACTCCTGGTTTGCCTTCTCATGTCTCAGCAGTGCCGGTGGATCTGGGCGGGAGGCTGGGGACAGAGCACTCACAGCTGGTAAAGGACAGTGCACCATCAGTAC